TATACAATGTAAAATACAAACCCGTTTGGCATGCGAAGGAGAAGGCAAGGAGGTTGATATATGGCGATTGGGATACATCATACAATGAGTTACTTGATTTGTTACAAGATATGAAACAATTCATACCTGGAACCATCGTGAAGTCTCAGACCATATCTGCATACAAGAGAATATTTCATAGACTCTACTGGGCATTTGAGTCATGCATAGAAGGTTTCCATTTTGTAAACGCATGATCCAAGTAGATGGTACGTGATTATACGGTCAATATAATCATATACTATTGATAGTAGTTGCACAGGATGGTTAAAGAAATATCTTCCTAATTTCATTCGCCATCGTTGAAGGAGAGACGACAGAGGCTTGGGATTTCTTTCTGACTAATCTACGTAAGTATTTAATCCAAGAAGATGGACTTTCCTTGATATCCGATCGAGGAACAAGCCTTTTGGCAGCAATTGAACGATCAAGAAGTAGTTGGACACCTCTGCACGTATATCCCACATATTGTATCTGCCATATTGACAAGAATTGTATTGAGAAGTTTCATAATGGTCGCATTCGTAGGGAGATAGGCAACATGGGTAACTTTTATTTTCAACATTTGTACTCATTTATGTGTTTGTTTGTAAATTGACGTTAACATAATATACATTATGAAAAGGATATGAACTACGCTAGCCAAATTTTGATAAGAGATTGGAGGATTTGAAGGTCACAGATGAGCGCGTTTGGAAGTGGGTATCGAAAATTGTGAGCCAACCCCGTTCATTCTATTTTATGCTTCCATCTGTATATCAATCAAAATATAATTCGGTAATTATTTTTCCTATACAAAATATTCATTAATTAATTTAACATAAAATATTTTAAATCAAAATATTACCTTCCGATAAGAGGAAAGTCAACTGCAGTTCGGCTAATCTGTGTTAACCATGGAAGTCTGTGCCAAGCCCACGATTGTAATAACATCAGACATCCACCAATTTCCATCGTACACACATCATTTACAAGTAATGACGACTTGCACATCTCGCGATACAAGAACGCCAATATTACTTATCCCTAACTATACTGACGAGTATTCAAAAAGTTACAAAAAAACGGAAGATATTGTATATGGACAAGATTACCAGATTTATTTGACATCAAGGCTCCCCCGATCAACCGTAATATATATGCTCAAGTTGCATATATAATGTCTTGCTCAGTACCATAACGACTAAACTTAAACTCATTCACCAACCATGATAACCTTAAACGTGACCCTTTTGTATATATTTTTTTGGTACCTTCCCAAGGTAAGCCCCCCACATTTCAAACACGTCCTAGTCATTTTTTCCCACCACTTCCATTCAAATTGTAGGGATCCCGAGTTGTAAAGGCACATCCTCCTAAGTGATCATACATTCACCACACGGAAGATGAAATGTATGAGTTTCTGGTCTACACCGTTCAATTAATGCACTGATCAAACCGGGGACCAACTTATATTCTCTTACAAATGTTACTTCGTAAAATCCCTCCATTTGCAAATTCTGGACAATAAGTTCATATGGCTTATCACAAATGTTCACTCGACTTAGAAGGACTCGTTGTTCGTCATCCTGCAATTTATTAATCCATGTAATTAGAATTAATTCATCGTTCTCAAATAAAATATATTATTCGATCATAATATCAGTGCTCCCAAATGACTAGAAATGTGTCGATCCTCTAGTATCAAAAGAACATTTTGTTCCGCCATGCTTTAACCAATCTATAAAAAAATTAAATATTTCAATTTATAATATTAATCATAATTAAAGAAAATTTAAACAAAAATATATATTAAATCAAAATAAATAGTCTAATTAATTTATATTAAAAATAATTTAAATTAAACTTACGAAACTACTCAAATACGACTTAATATGTATAATCAAAATAAATAGTCTAATAATTATAATTTAAATTAAAAACCAAAATTATACTAAAAATTACAAAAAAATATAAATTAAACTTACCAAACCACTCGAATATTGTTTAATTTGTAAAATCAAAATAAATAGTCTAGTTAATTTATATTTACAATAAAAACCCTAAACCTTAAACAATAAATTTTACACTAAACTTACTAAACCACTCAAATATGATTTAATCCCTAAAATAAAAATAATTAGTCTAATAATTTATATTACTCAATAAAAATAAAAAATATAATTTAAACTAAACTTATCAAGCTACTCAAATACAACTTAATATATAAAATCAAAATAAATAGTCTAATACTTATTATTTAAAACAAAAATTACACTAAAAATTATACGCAAATTTAAATTAAACTTACCAAACCACGCAAATATAGTTAATCTATAAAATCAAAATAAATAATCTAATTAATATATATTTAAAATAAAAAATAAAACAATAAAATTTGCATTAAACTAACCAAAAAATTCTAATTTTTTCTTCCTTTGTTCGAACTTTCTTATCTCCTTTTTACTTTTCTTAATCTCTCTCGACCACTCCAAGCTTTTTTCTCTTCTTTTCTCAGCTCACCCCTTATCCCCGAACTCCCCTATTTATAAAGAAATCACGGCTATACATTATTGGTGTACAATAATAACATCATTATTAGTTCCCAATAATGGCACAATGATTCGGGTGCAGCAGCAGCAACAGTCAATTTTTACGCGTTTCTATATTGTAGGCCTGAAGATGCCACGTAGTTTCGAGGTATTTTGTATGTTGAACGTTAACCATTGTTTTGAAAACCAGACTGGACCGGCCGGTTCAACCGGGAATCGTTGCCTAGTCCGGTTCAATCTAAACCGATTGAACCGCTACTAGTGAATCGGCCAGAACCGCTGAACCGTTCGAACCGGACCGACTGAAAATAAAAAAAACTGGAAAAAATCAGAAATTTTATTTTTTTTCTAAAAAAATTAAACCAAACGCCGTTTGTTAAACGAGCCAAGTCGAACTCGAGTATTGCTGAGCTCGACTCGAACTTGAAAACTTTAAAAGTAAGCTCAACTCCACTCAAACTCACAAGTTAAAAATTATCAAGTTCAACTCGAACTCGAAATATAATATTGAAACTTGAACTCAAAAATGCTTGAACTAAAAAAAATTTAGAAGCTCAATTGAAGCCTAAAATTCGAGCTTGATTGAAGTGAAAGAATAGTTCACTTAATGCTCACCAAAAGACTCCATGATTTTGAATGCCAAATTACCTCTATTATTTATAGAAGTTAGTTGTGATGCTCTTCTATGTTTCTTAGCAATGTGAGATTTTTTTGTTCCTCATATTTTTACTCTTTAGACTTTTGAGATGCTCTTCTATGTTTCTTAGCCATGTGAGATTATTTAAAAAAAAATTAAACCAAACAATATCATTTTGTTATGATTTTTTTAACCCCAAATTTATTTTTTAATTATAGTTATATAATTATATTTATTATTTAATATGTTTTACCTTAAATATTATGTTGTAGTTAATTTGAATCATTTTGTTTCACATGAATTTATGGTTTTTAATTTATATATGTTATGAATTGCTTTGAATATGACTTGTGATATAAAAATTATTTTTGATATTTTTATTTAATTTTTTAAATAATTATGACGTCATCCGGTTCTTCTGACCGATCGAACCGATTCAATCGATTAAACCAATAAATCGATAGCATAATCAGTTTACTAACCGTTTGATTCTGAAAACCAGTTAACCTGAAAACGCCGCATAATTTTGAGATCTTTTGCATGATCTAAATGCCTCAAGACGTCAGATAGTCCTGAAGTCTTCTTGATTGCCATGAAGAAGTAAAATAATCTTAAAGTCTTTTAACTCGGTATTGTAGAATTCATCCTAAATGAAGATATTATTATGGGGGAATATTTTATCCCCAAGTACGTTATTATGGCCATTTTGCCAACTAACAACACGACACAACACCTGCTCTGTCTCTCCCTTTCTCTCTGTTTTCTCTTTCTAAAACGCAGCGGTGAGCTGCCGGCGAGAAACCAAATCTCGCCGGAATTTCGCTCTCTTGATCGTCGGAAATTTTCATTTCTTTTTTCTTTTCACCTCCCCGGAATCAAGCTGCCACAAAGAAAACGAATATATTGTTATTATTTATGAATTTCGTGTATGATTGTGGAATTATGGTGTTGTAGAAGAAAACAAAGAAAAAAAGAGGAAAAAGTATTCTCTCTCATGTGGTGAGTAATGGCTTACAATGGAAGGAAAAAATGCTGAGATCCCTTCCTCTATCTTCTTCCTTTATGCTATAATTTATTTTTTCTTTTCTCTCTCTCAAATTTGATCTGTCTTTTGAATATTTAACTTCTCGTTGAGTATCAACACATAATAAAGGTGCCAGACAGAATTTTCAGGTTTTTGATTCATAAGGTAAGGCTTAGTTTCTGTTTTATTTAGGTCAAACTTAATACAATTTTGAGTTTTATTTTAAAATTTTTACCTCAATTTCGCTAGTAAAGTTTTGAAATTTAAGCCTCTTCCTTTCACAATTTTAATCCCTGGTACGATCAGGAGTTTTTGTGGAATATTGTTCTTAATAAGCGGGAAAAAGGTAATTTAGTAGAAAATAATTTATTTTTGAGAAATTCAAAGCTGGGTTTAGCTTATCTCAACTTGATTTTTATGGTTCAAGTTCCACAAGTTTTTTTTTTCCCTTTCAAATTTCGTTTAAAAAAGCTTGTTGGGGGGGGGGAGTATGATTTTAATATTGTGAATTTATTTTTTTTAAAATGTAAAATTCACCTTTTCCTGTGTTTTGAAACCTAATATTGGTGATTTTCTTTTAAATTTTTTCTTACATTTTCTTGGAAACCAAACGGTAACCTTTGTTTGGTTGTTGGTAGGTAAGTGGCTAACTGGTTTTCCTTTTCATGGCACATCACGTTTCAACCTACTTGAATTATTTTTTTTAAAAAAACTCCCGTTTTGTTCCCTTAAAAATCCAAATTTCTGAAGAAAGTAGCTAGCCTTTGTGTCATGTTCACTCCTTTCAATGATATTTGATAGATGGAAAGGAAATCCATTTAGAATTTGAATTAATGCATTAATTTATTAATATTTCTTTGGAATTTCAAGTTCCCCTTTCATTGGTGCTGTTATTCTTGTTTATTTAAAAAAATAACTTACAAGATTAGCAGTTTTCTGATTAGGAATTGGTGATTCTTGAATGCTTTAGGGTATGGCGATTACCTTGGAACGGAGCCTCAAGTGACAAATTTTGAGCTTATAGTTTTTTAGATTTTACGGTGTTGAAGCTGAACAATGCCATTTGAGGTCATGGATAAAAAAAATGCATCTCCTTCATCCCACTTTTCGGATGACGTTCGTTTCCCACATGAGGTACTCTTGGGCATATACAACCAATTTTATTATTTAACTTGTATTTTGAGTTTATTGGATCTTTATATTTCTTGTTTTAAAGGCTCTTGCAGGGTTCCTGAATTTGCTCCTTTAAATATGATTTGTGATCGTTTTTTATCATGAAACTTTTAAGTCCCCATTATAAGAAAACATTTTTTTTCGTGTTGCTTTAATATCAACTTATGTTCGGCAGAGACAAATTGGATTTTGGAAGCCAAATACCCTGTCTGATAACCAAGGTGAGAACAGTGCTATGGACGACTGAAGTGCTGGCTCTGTTTGCTGTTAATCGGCTTATTTAAATGCATCTACCATTTAGAGCTTAAGGGGGAACTTCTAGCTTTGCCTTCATTAAAATTAATAAAGATTGATTCGGTCTCTTGACTATTGTGAGAAACTGTGGCCCCTAACTTTGTGATGTCACATGCAATGTATTTAAGAACCATAGTTAAACCTTTACTATTCAGTGAATAATCCAAGAGATGATCAGTTTATTTAAATTCATTGACCAAATAAACTGGTTGTCAGTTTCTGATCAGTAGGATTGGAGCATTAGAGGGAATTTTTAGCTTTTGTCATCATCAAACTTCATGAAGATCAATATGGTCTCTTGATTACTGTTAGAAATTGTGGCTTCTAAGTGATGACAGGTGGAATCTATTTAAGAACCACAGTTGGCTTTTACAATTGAGTGAATATTTCAAAAGATTGAACTACAAACTGTGGTTCTGCGTTTTTCTCTATCAAAAGGATTCCTGAGTCCATCAATCAGAATGTTTAAGTGTATTTATGATTGTATTGCCAATTCAAGTACCATGGAAATGTGCGGTATATCTTCTTTGAAGCATTTGTCAAAGGAATGCAGTAATATGTTAAATTGTTTTTTATGAAAGCTTGACTACTGACGGCTCTTCTGAAGCACTAAATTCCCGTTTGGGGAATTTGTTATCTATATCGATAAAATTCTGTTCAATTGCGCTAAATTAGTATATGTTAGTTATGAGCAAGAGTGCTTTGCAGCCTATTGTTTTCAAAAGTGATTGAAACATATTTATAAAATCAAGAGCCAAAAGTTGGTGTCCATTTTAGTATTTTTTTTCCAGCTTCTGTTAAGTGCTTTATTTACCGACACCTTTCACCTGTCCGCAAATAGTTTTTGGAAAATGAGTTTGTCTCATGAGATAGCAATTAACATTGATTAATTTGGTACCCATATTTGGCATATTCTTTTTAAATATATGTTTCTTGCTTTATGGAATTTTTGTTGGTGTCACATGTGATTATTTGGAAATCATTTGAAATTTTTTGTTCTTACAAATGTTAAATACCTTATAAAGGTAAGTATAGTTTGCATTTAACGTATTACCTAGAAATCTCAGATCTTCTAAATGAAATATTATGATGCTATTTTTATGCAAAACTTGTTCACGGTTATCTCTTCCTGTCTTTAAAAAAGCTTCTGGTCTTTGCAGACAAGAGGATTCATTCACCTCCACCAAATCTGGTTAGAGATCAAGAAGGAAAGTTCGACATCAGTTGGAATGGAATTACCAACTTATCTGAGCCTTCATGGAATTCTGTGAATCATCATCCAAAATCACTATCTAGTATGCATATGCAACCAGTGGTGAACTTTAATAGAAACAGCTGCAATGCCAATGTGATCCAGCATGAAAGTAGTCTGTTTTCAAGTTCGCTGTCTGAAATATTTAGTAGAAAATGTAAGTATTTTTGTCTCTGTCTATCAAACACTATGGCAGTTTTCAACATGTGCATACATGAATTCAACGTTTGCATTGTTTCTTCCCTGTTTCTCTTGTATCAGATGCTTTATTTGATATTATATTGCATGGATCGATCGATGACTGTTATTTCCCCCCACAAACATAACTCTAAAAGAAAGTATGAAGCTGTTTTATTAAAACTCATGCCATCTTCATCCATTGTGTTAACCTTTTCACATATATATCTGAACATTTCTTATTTTCTCTGCCAGAGGTTCAACCAACTCATTAGGACAATTATCAATCTGATGGATTCAAATTTGAGTTAATATCTATTTTACGATGCTGCATTTCCTTTCTTTTTTCCTGGCTACTTATAACTTTTTCTAAGTACCATATAATTGATAAATTTTCATCTGTGGTTTTGTTTGATTTTATCTTTATGCAGTGAGATTATTTGGGAATGATCTATCTTATCAGCATGCCAGTAAAGCTGCTTCACACCATGAAGAGGAACCTTTCAAATCTATGGAAGAAATTGAGGCACAGACTATTGGAAATCTCCTCCCCGATGAAGATGATCTCTTCTCTGGAGTGATTGGTGAATCAGGACTTAATACTCATGCCAGTAAAGGGGATGAGTTAGAAGATTTTGACCTATTCAGCAGTGGCGGAGGAATGGAATTAGAAGGAGATGATCGCGGATCCATGGGTCCAAGGAATTCAGATCTCATCGGAGTACACAACAGTCGAGGGGGTTCCAACGGCTCAATCATTGGTGAACACCCATATGGTGAACTTCCTTCTAGGATACTTTTTGTAAGGAACATTAATAGCAATGTTGAAGACTCAGAGTTAAAGACTCTTTTTGAGGTTTGTGTTTGTTTTCCGTTGTACTGTTTATTGAGACTTTGTGCTTGCAAATTTTCCTCCATCAACTCCATTTGAATTGCTTCATGTTCCACTAAGTTAAATTGACTAACCCTTTTCCTTATGTCAGCAATATGGAGTTATCCAAACTCTTTATACTTCCTGCAAGCATCGTGGGTTTGTTATGATCTCTTATTATGATATAAGGGTAGCCAGAAATCCAATGAGGGCTATGCAAAATAAGCCATTGAGGCGTAGGGAACTTGATATACATTATTCAATTCCAAATGTGTGGCTTTAACCGTTTTGTTCTGAATAGTTAATGTTTTCCATTTTGTTATTACCCGCACTACTTTTACTACCTTTGTCTTGTCAAATTGTTGATGCATCTTCATGTGTAACATTGCTGCTTTATTTATTTATATATTCACTGTTTTAATTTTATGACCTCAGGAAAATGCATGTGAGAAAGATGTAGATCAAGGGATGCTGGTGGTTTTCAACCCTGATTCCTCTGTTTCAACTGACGAGCTTCAACAAATATTTGGTGCTTTTGGGGAAATTAAAGAAGTAAGAAATTTATTCTTTCAGCTTCTGAATTCCCTTACGCTTGTGTTGACAAGTGTCTAATTGATGTTAATTTGCATGGCAGATCCGTGATGCTCCAAACAAGCATAATCACAAGGTCATCGAGTTTTATGATGTTAGAGCTGCAGAAGCTGCACTTAATGCTCTGAATAGGAGTAACGGTGCTGGGAAACAAGTTAAACTTGAACCAAGCCGTCTGGGTGGTGTTAGGCGGTAATGTCATCAACTTTTGCTGCTTTCTTTCAACTTCTAATAAAACTGTTTTTGATCTTAGCTTCTGAAGGAATCTGGAACATTTGTAATTTCCCCTTTTTGTGATTCTTGAAATTGAAAATCTTCTATTACTTCTAAGTGATGGCTCTGTCACTTTACTGGTTCTGCTTACTTTGCCACGAGTATCAATGATGCAATACTTTTATGGATGCCTAATATACTTTTTGCATTTAAGTCTTATTTTCTTCCTTATTGTGTTTTTTTGTGGCGTTCGTAAATTGTAGTAAAATGAAGTTCCGTTTGCAGTTTTATTCAGCAGCCTGAGCAGGAGCTAGATGAACCTAATCTTTGTGGAAGCCCTTTTGATGAGTTATCATCAGGACACATTGGTATGCTTTGCCTGTAAATTCTACCATCTGACCAATTTGTTATAAGCTGTTGTTTCTGTTCCTTCACACATCTCGATTCCTTATGACTTTTTACAGGAGTAATTGCATCTGGTGGCAAGGATAATGGATCTTCCCAGGTGTTACATTCAGTTATCCAGTCACCTGTGAATACTTTTGTTGAACCTCACCGAAGTTCGACTGTTCCTATTAACCTAGCCTCTCCAGCAAGAGTGGCACCCATAGGCAACAAAATAAATCCTCTGGAGACCAACCATTCTACGGATGATCTGAAATATGCTAACCAAGGGGTACAAGGTTTCCATCCTCATTCCTTCCCTGACTACCATGACAGCATAGCCAATGGTATTGAACTCAACTCCCCACGCACCATAACAAACATGGCTAGTAGTGCCGGTTCGATGGCTGAAGGGCTTGACAATAGGCACGCTCGAGGAGCAAGTTCAAATGGACACCTGATTGAACCTAATGCTGGGGGTAAGTTCAGCTGATTTGTATATCAACATCAATGAAACATGTTTTCCTGCATCTTTATTGCATTCTGTCATGGGACTCATGAGGAACTTTCATTATTTAGTATGTTAATATTTTTGATAAATTTTACAATTCATTATGTTAAAAATTTCAGGTAAATTTTAACTCTTTTTTCTGTTCTTGTATTGAATTGTTTCTTATGCTTTAGGCTTCCTTTCTCCCCAATTTTTTGTTGCTAATAAATTCTCTAGAGTTTTTGGGTCTTCAGGAAATGGAAGCTTGTCAGTTAATGGTAATAATTACATGTGGAAGACCAACAACTCACATCAGCAGCATCCACCAAGTGCCATGGGTTGGCCAAATTCGCCATCATTTGTCAATGGTGTTCATGCTTATCGCCTTCCTCACAAGCCTGCATTCCCTAGGGCTCCCCCTGTAATGTTCAATGTAGGATCACCTTTACGCCACCATATTGGCTCAGAACCACCCAATTCTGCACCATGGGACAGGTGGCATCCTTATGCTGGGGAGTCTCCAGATACTTCAGGTTTTCACCTAGGATCTCTTGGAAGTGTGGGTTTTCATGGTACTTTACCATCATATCCTGTGGACATTGCTTCCCAAAACATTTTTTCTCATGTTGGTGGTATGGATTTGATGAAAAATGGTGGGGTACACTCTCCGCAACAGATGTGCCACCTTTACCCTGGCAGGAACCCAATGATTTCAATGCCAACATCTCTTGATTCTCCTAATGAACGTGTTAGGAACTTCTCACAGCGTAGAAATGATCTGAATTCTAGTAATGCCGATAAGAAACAATATGAACTTGACATTGACCGCATCATATGTGGGGATGACAGCAGAACAACGCTAATGATAAAAAACATACCCAACAAGTATGTGAGCTGCTTCTCTAGCAGATTCCTGTCAATGTTCTTTTTAATTTCTTGTGTCTTGATTTGTTTGCTTTCCTATTAAAATGATTTTGTTTCATAGTATCCTTTTATGGTTAAACTTTCTTATGTCCAAACAACATTGCATGATGAATTACCTTAAACCCATAGACATCGTGATGATGATTTGTTGTACTTTGCCTTTAAAATTTCATTATTGTTCCAAAAGTAGTAATTGTTGATGAACCACCACTTTTGCAAGTTGTATATATTGGGACTAATTGACAGATTGTTCCGGATTCATTCAATTTGGCATATCTTGTAATGTAGTTGAAGTAATTTACTAGAGGTGTTTTTACAATTAAATAATTTATTTGGTGTTGTGCTCGTTCTTCAGATTTGTTGATTGCATCCTAGTAAGGTCATTTATTGTAGTAAATATTCCACTTCTCCTTCATGTCTTCCCTTCTTTCGTATGATTATCTCCTTACAAGAAGTAAAATGGTGATTTTTTTGCAGGTACACTTCAAAGATGCTTCTGGCAGCCATTGACGAGCACTGTCGAGGAACTTATGATTTTATTTATTTGCCAATTGACTTCAAGGCAAGTTAATTGGTTCACCAACAGTTTTCCCACCATGATAAACTGATTCATTCTCGGACATGCTACATGTAGTTTGATGTGTTACTAACCCTAAATTTTGTCAATGTTATCTGTAGAACAAATGCAATGTGGGCTATGCGTTCGTCAACATGATCGATCCACAACAGATCATTCCTTTCCATAAGGTTTAATACATGGATTTTATGTCACACTATTATCTGTTATTTATGCAGATACTATCATTTGCATGTCTAATCATGTGCTTAACTATTATTCCGATAGATTGAAACTAATCTGGTTAACCCAAATTTCTCTTTAGGCATTCGATGGCAAAAAATGGGAAAAGTTCAACAGTGAAAAGGTGGCAACTCTTGCTTATGCTAGGATCCAAGGAAAGGCTGCTCTAATTGCTCATTTCCAGAATTCAAGCTTGATGAATGAGGATAAACGTTGCCGCCCTATTCTCTTTCATACTGATGGCCCAAATGCTGGAGATCAGGTGAAGTCATCTTGATACGGCATAAACTAGCTGAATGCATTCCTCTTTTCATGTTTCCTGAAATTCATAATGTAGTTTTACTTTTGTGGCCTTTCCTTATTATTATATTGGCAATGGAGAAGGATGTTTCTCGGTCTTTACGTCGTACTTTGTTTGTTTATTTAGGAGCCCTTTCCTATGGGTACTAATATTCGATCAAGACCAGGGAGACCTCGAACAACTAGCATCGAGGAGAACCACCGCCAAAGTAGTTCTTTGACTTTAGGTTGGGAGGAATTTTCCAATGGGGCAGACTCATTGGGTTGTTTGAAGGATTCTTATTGAGCAGTCTGCTTATCTATCTCTAACTTTCAGAGTACTAAAACTTTACCTACCCTGATCTGTGTACTTGAGGTTGGCTTGATGACTTTTTTTTGCCATATAGAAGCAGTTTTGTGAACCAAGTTGCACTGAAACTAAGTGGTAATTTTTTTTCTTGTATCGATAGCCTGTTTATGGGGGCTTCAAATTTTGCGTAGCCTATGACCGAATTGTATCTCGATGTGTGGAAGTTCCTGGGCTTATGCATGACTCGAGGGATCCTTTCTTCTTGTATCAGTTTTGTGTCTAAAGTTATGTGATTACATTTTTGTCCCCAAGGTTAGTCCTGCTTCAGTCTAGGTGGTGGTTGTTGTTGCTCAAAGGGAGGGAAGAGACGACTTTCACAAGTATTACAGTCATGGAATCTTTAACTAGTTTATCTTTTTGTAATGACATACATTCTTTTTTTCTTGTTTTGACTCGTCATTTATATCCTTGTTGCTTTAGAGTACAATGTCTGAAACAGGTAACATGGTTAGATATTGCTTTGTGGTGGATTCTATTCGAACGTCGGAACTCGGTGTAACACCCCCAACCTGTACCCGATCCGGATACGAGTCTGAGGTGTCACATTGACTTTTCAAACTTTGACTCTTGACGAAAATCAAGGAAATTTAAAACTTTCATTAAAAAAACATTATTACTTTACATAAGTTAACCAAAACAAGACAAAATCGATCAGAACATTCATAACTAACACTTTTTTTACATGTCATCACACTATACACAATCAAAATACATACTTTCTTAGTTACTTCTGATCTGATCTTCTAACAAAAATGTCGTTCTTGTCACCTCTATTTCTGCTCTTCTGAATTCTTCGTACCTACATGTAAATCATTTACACGCTAAGTTAAAGACTTAGTGAGACATAAAATAAACATACAACAATAATATCATGAATACACACTACTATTAATCCACTAAGACATTGCAATGCACCTGTAGATGTCACACTATGACATATAAGTATGATATGCATGAATGAATAATTATGTTTTATAAGAGTTTTCCTTTAATTTATCTTTGAATGCCCATGTACATTATTGAGAACAGAAGGTACGCGAGTACACTGGGGTTGTGCACAATGCTGTCACCACAGCTCGAATAAAATCCCACTAGGGGCACTAAATATTTGTCCCGTAGGACCACTATGTCCCGAAGGACCACTATGTCCCAAAAGACAACTATGTCCCGAAGGACCACCGATAATCCCTCGACTCTTAGCATGCTAATTATACCTACATCTCTCATATTAAATAACATGGGTTTAATTATCAATACATTTCTTATTTCATATCTCTTTCATCACTGTCCATGTAAACACATAAGTCACTTCATATGATCATTTCCATTATTTCACATACCTGGAAGGATTATCTGATAATGGCATTTATTCATATAATATCATGTTAAATCATGAATGAATTATGCATGGAATCACTATAACATTAATATATATATATGTATCCATGTGCATGAATATGGAATCATAAATTCAATAATAAGAGATAGACTTATCGCAAGTCTTATCTCAATACAATTCTATCTAGGATATGCACTCACCTTAGCCTTGCTTGATTTGACTCGATCCTAATCCTTCGATTGTTCCAGAACAAGATTACGTTCACTATCTACATAATTATACATTTATACATATTAGTAATCCAATTGTATACTCTAATATTCCAATTCTTAAGCTTAAGGAAAGGTAATTTTCATTCTCATTTATAATAGGTATTGATACCCCCATAGGGTATCGGTACCCCTACAACAATCTGAAAATTTCATCTTAAGGGGGGTATCATACCCCCTATAGGGTATCGATACCCTTATTGCATTATATTATTTTTCGTTCAAGGGGGTATCGATACACCTTCATAGGGTACCGATACCCTCTGCCCAGAAATTATATTTTGAGCACGAAATTTACTTCATTTTTAGCTCAACACTTCATATTTCACCTCCTTTAATATCTCTAACTTGCATACACCTACTTAAACTAATTTATACCCATTCAATACCTCTTAAACTTAAAAATCCAATCCTCCACATAGAATTCAAGAATCTCACTCAAATTCCAACATGTTCTAAATCAAATTCTAACACTTTATATTCCTTAATCAAGTTGGTGACAAGTCAAATTCAACTTCCAATTCTCATTATGAACTTTATTTCAAAATTTAATTCAAGAACTCCTAACCTTTAATTCTTCCTACTCCCTTCATCTTGTTGTTTTAAGATAAATTAAGCTTTCCTTAAGCTTAATTATCGTCTAATGATCAAAACCAAAACTTAATTTCAACTAATAAGCAACTAATAAAGATTCTCACCTTTGGCTTGGTTATCACTTATGAAGGAAGATGAAGAAGAAGAGAACTCTGGAAACTTGTGTGTTTCCCTCTTCACTCCATGTGGGTTAATATAATCCATAACCAAATTTAATCATTTTCCTTACAAATGACCATTCTATCCTTTTATTCTTCATTCTTTTCAATTTGATCATACACCATATTTTTCATAAAGTCTTTAAACTATCCAATTATTCTACTTTAAGTACCAAATTCCATAACTTTACAATTTAGTCACTAACCCGGTATTAAGGATGTTACAAATCTCCCCCTTAAGAAAATTCGTCCTCGAATTTTCATTGTGCAAAGAGATGGGGGTATTGATTCCTCATGTCTTCTTCACGTTCCCACGTTGCTTCTATTTTGTGATTCCTCCACAAGACTTTAACTAATGGAATAGTCTTGTTCCTTAGTTGTTTAATCTCATAAGCTAAGATTTGAACGGTTCTTCCTCATACGTCAAATCCGGTTGAATCTCGATCTCTTCTGGAGTCACAATGTAGGAGGGATCATATCGATATTTTTGAAGCATTGAGACATGAAAGACATCATGGATTTTCTCCATTTCATGTGGCAGCGCTAGTTGATATGCCACTGGTCCAACTCTCTTTACGATCTCGTAAGGTCCAATGAACCGACGACTTAACTTTCCTCTTCGGCCAAACCTCAAAACCTTCTTCCATAGAGACACTTTTAAAAACACTTTATCTCCGACTTGAAACTCAATTCCTTTCCTTTTTAGGTCTGCATACGATTTTTGTCTATTAGGTGCTGCTTTGAGATTACTTTGAATTATTTGGACCTTTTCTTCAACTTCCTAGATCAACTCAGGACCAAGAACTTCTTTATCTTTAAGTTCGAACCAATTTAAGGGCGTACGACATCTCCTTTCATAAAGAGCCGTATAGGGTGCCATTTTGATGCTTGATTGATAACTATTGTTGTAAGCAAACTCAACAAGTGACAAGTATCTTTCCCACGATCCTTTGAATTCTATAACACATGTTCTCAGCATATCCTCAAGAATATGGATTGTTCACTCAGATTATCCATCTGTTTGAGGATGAAATGTTGTACTGAAATTTAGTCGAGTGCTTAATGTTCCATACAAGGTCTTCCAGAATCTCGAAGTAAATCGAGGGTCCAGATCAGAAACTATGGAAACAGGCACTCCATGCAATCTAATGATCTCCTCTATATATAACTCAACGTATTTATCCATGGAGAAATCAGTCCACACCGAAATTAAATGTGCTAACTTAGTCAATCTATCTACGATCACCCAGATTGAATCTCTTTTGTTTGGAGTTAAAGGTAACCCCGTTACAAAACCCATTATTACATTCTCCCATTTTCACCGAGGAATCAAAATTAGTTGCAATAATCCTGACGGAACCTGATGCTCAGCTTTGACTTGCTGACAAGTCAAACACTTAGATACAAATTATGTAACGTCCTTCTTCATTCCAGGCCACGAATATTGACTCTTGAGATCCATATACATTTTGTTTCCTCTAGGATGCATGGTCAATGGGCTACAGTGAGCTTCCATTAACAAGTCTTTCTTCAATTCAACATTATCAGGAATCACTAGCCTCCCTTGATAATATAGGTTCCCATCAGTCTTGAATTCATAATCCATAACCTCTCAATTCCTTATCTATTGTAGCTTCTTTGAACACTTTTCATCTCTAGCTTGTAATTCTTTAATTCGATCTAGTCATGATGGCTTGAGAGTTAACTCTGCGCATATTGCACCGAATCTGCTTAACGATAGTTTGGCATCCAAAACTCGTAAGGCTGCAAACATCTTTCGACTTAAAGCATATGCTACCATATTTGCTTTCCCCGGATGGAAATCGATTACTAAATTGTAATCCTTTAAGAATTCCACCCATCTTCTCTGTCTTAAATTCAATTCTTTCTGAGTCATCAAATACTTTAAACTCTTGTAATCTGTATATAAATAACATTTTCCCCATACAAGTAGTGACGCCAGATCTTAAGAGCGAACATTACTGTAGTCATCACTTTGCCTTCTTGCATTAACACGCATCCTAAGCCATTATGAGACGCATCATTATACACTACAAAGTTCTTGCCAGACTCGGGTTGAACCAACACTGGAGTTTCTGTCAAAATCTTCTTTAGCCTTTCAAAACTCTCTTGGCACTCTGGAGTCCACACAAATTTTATCTCATTCCTCAATAATTTAGTTAGGGGTAATGCTATTATCAAAAAGTTTTTAACGAACCTTCGGTAATAGCCAGCTAACCCCAGAAAACTCCGGACTTCTGACAAATTCTTTGGAACTTCCCACTCTGAAATGGCTTTAATCTTGTGGGGATCCACTTGAATTCCTTCTGCAGAAATCACATGTCCAAGGAACGTCACTTCCTTCAACCAAAATTCACATTTGGAGAGTTTAGCATAAAGCTTCCTTTCTCTCAAAATCTGTAGAACAATCTTTAAATGTGAACTATGCTCTTCTTCTGACTTTGAATACACTAAAATATCATCGATGAACGCCACTATGAATCGATCCAAATAGGGTTGAAATATTATGTTCATGAGATCCATAAAAGCAATCGGTGCATTCATAACTCCAAATGGCATAACAATAAACTCATAGTGCCCATATCTCGTTCTGAATGCCGTCTTTGAAATATCTTTATCTTGAATCTTCAATTGATGTAACCACAATGTAAATCAATCTTCGAAAACACTGAAGCTCCCTTTAGTTGATCAAATAAATCGTCAATTCGGGGGAGGGGATACTTGTTCTTGATGGTCACTTTATTGAGTTGTCTATAATCAATGCAAAGACGCATGGATCCATCATTCTTTTTGACGAACAAAACTGGAGCTCCCCATGGTGAGGCACTCGGTCTGATAAACCCTTTATCCAGTAATTCTTGTAATTAGATCTTTAATTCTTGTAGCTCTTTTGGGGCCATTCTGTATGGTGACATGGCAATAGGTGCAGTTCCTGGCATTACTTCAATCTGAAATTCTACCTCTCTGTCTGGAGGCAAACCCGGTAACTCTGCAGGGAAAACGTCGAAAAACTCTCTGACTATAGGAATTTCTTCAATCCCCTTCTCTTTAGCTATAACATCCAGTACACTAGCAATAAACCGTGACATCCCTGTAGCAATAATTTCTTTGCCGACATCACTAATATTACATTAGCCAATGGGTTCTATCATTCACTAAATACAATGACTTTTATACCTTCTAGACTTCTCAACATTACTCTTTTCAGTCTACAATCAACATTAGCGTAGTAACGATATAACCAGTCCATTCCCAGTATCACCTCGAATTCGTCAAAAGGTAATTCTATCAGATTAACAGGGAATTCAATTCCCTGAATCCGTATGGGACACCCTTGACACATCATATTGACTCGAGCATTGTGCCTTAACGGATTAGTCACTATCATCTCACTACTAATAGCTTTTAACGGAATATTCAATTCTCTCACTAACTTACTGCAAATATAAGAATAAGTAGACCCTGAATCAATCAGTATAAACACATTCTTGTCATACAACTGAAAAATACCTGCTATAATCTCTGGGTCATCCCGATCCTCGCTAGTCTTAAGATTATACACACGAGCTGTAGAACATATCTCTTGTGGAGCCAATGACTCTAATTGACTTCTTCCTCTACCTCTACCTCTTCCTCTTCCTCTTCCTCTCTGGGTAGCCAAAGCAGACCTCTCTGGTTGAGCAAATTCACCAGCTAACATGGGCCAATCCCGAACAAAATGCTCGGTGTCCCCACATTTAAAGTAGGCTATAGAAATCATCATGTAAATCCCCAAGTGATTTTTCCACAATGTGGACATGGTTTAACTTGACTCGGATTAGATCTCCTATCTCCAGATCCCACTGATTGTGTTTGTCATCCCCTCATCGTATTTGATCCCCTCGTGGAGGATGCCACATACTCTGATCTCACTTGGGGTCAAGAACCAACATCTCTGTCCCTTTTTGATGGTGCACACTAGATGATGCATCCGATCATTTCGATGTCTGAGCTCGAGAATCTTCGAAACCTCTCATTCTGAGCTATTTCCAGAGCTTTAGCATGATTCACCACTTCTTGAAATGAAGATAAATTCAACACAATAAGCATCTCTTTCAAATGAGGACGCAATCCCTCGATAAACCACTCGCAAGCATCATTCTCTATAGGAATTAACTCAGTAACGAAGCGGCTTAACTTGTTGAATTCACATTCGTACTCATACACTGTACGGTTCCATCGCTTCAGATTCATGAACTCTTGCTTCATTTATCGGATGAACTGATCTCCGATATATTCATGCTTGAACTCTTCTAAGAACAAGGACCAAGTTACCTGATCACTTGTCATTCTCAATGTAACGTTGGTCCACCAAATCCTTGCTTGCCCTCGGAGCAAGGAGACTACTCCATCCAGCTTGTCAACATCAGAACAATGAAGTCCCTCAAGCATAATTTTCACGTCATTAAGCCAAATGTCCGCAGCAACAGGACCTTCTTCGGCTTCACTCTAAACTCTGGTGCTCCTAAACCCTTTAACTCATTTGCAACATTCATTCTCGGAGTTGAAGTAGCAGAAAGTTGGAAACGCGCCAAGACAACGTCCAGTGTTATGAAGAACGCATCTTGATCACTCACAGGCACACCAGAGGGTGCCTGATCTTCACTCTGCCTGGCCAGGGCAGGTGAATTATTGCTTTCAGCGGGCCAATTGTCTCTCGCTTCACTTCTAGAACTACCATGTCTGGACATCTATAAAAACATACCCATATCGTCCTATTAGCAAAACATCATACTTACTATTTTATCAGATAAGAAGTTTTCACTATTTTGTTAGCATGTATACATTATAAGATTCTCTAGACTTCGGTTTATGCCGAGAATCGACTAAACCGTAGCTCTGATACCATTAAATGTAACACCTAAACCCGTACCCGACCCGGATACGAGTCAGAGGTGTCACATTGACTTTTCAAACTTTGACTCTTGATGAAAATGAAGGAAATTTAAATCTTTCATTAAAAAAACATTCTTACTTTACATAAGTTAACCAAAACAAGACGAAATCAATCAGAGCATTCGTAACTAACACTTTTCTTACATGCCAACACACTATACACAATCAAAATACATATTTTCTTAGTTACTTCTGATATGGTCTTGTAGCAATGATGTCGTTCTTGTCACACCTATTTCTACTCTTCTGATTTCTTGGTACCTACGTGTAAATCACTTACACACTAAGTCACAGACTTAGTGAAGCATAAAATAAACATACAACAATAATATCATGAATACACACTACTATTAATCCACTAAGACATTGCAATGCACCTGTAGATATCACACTATGACATATAAGTATGATATGCATGAATGAATAATTATGTTTTATAAGAGTTTTCCTTTAATTTATCTTTGAATGCCCATGTACATTATTGAGAACAAAAGATGCGCGAGTACACTGAGGTTGTGCACAATGCTTCACCACAGCTCGAATAAAATCCCACTAGGGGCACTGAATATTTGTCCGAAGGACCACTATGTCCCGAAGGACCACTATGTCCCGAATGACCACTAATCCCTCGACTCTTGGCATGCCAATTATACCTACAACTCTCATATTAAATAGCATGAGTTTAATTACCAATACATTTCTTATTTCATATCTCTTTCATCACTGTCCATGTAAACGCATAAGTCACTTCATATGATCATTTCCATTATTTCACATACCAAGAAGGATTCTCTGATAATGGCATTCATTCATATAATATCATGTTAAATCATGAATGAATTATGCATGGAATCACTATAACATTAACACATATATATGTATGCATGTGCATGAATATGGAATCATAAATTCAATTATAAGAGATAGATTTATCGCAAGTCTTATCTCAATACAATTCTATCTAGGATATGCACTCACCTTAGCCTTGCTTGATTTGACTCGATCCTAATCCTTCGATTGTTCCGGAATAAGATTACGTTCACTATCTACATAATTATACATTTATACATATTAGTAATCAATTGTATACTCTAATCTTCCAATTCTTAAGCTTAAGGAAAGGTAATTTTCATTCTCATTTATAATAGGTATCGATACCCCCATAGGGTATCGGTACCCCTACAGCAATCTAAAAATTTCATCTTAAGGGGGGTATCGATACCCTTATTGCATTATGTTATTTTTCGTTCAAGGGGGGTATCGATACACCTTCATAGGGTACCAATACCCTCTGCCCAGAAATTACATTTTGAGCACGAAATTTGCTTCATTTTTAGCTCAACACTTCATATTTCACCTCCTTTAATATCTCTAACTTGCATACACCTACTTAAACTAATTTATACCCATTCAATACCTCTTAAACTTAAAAATCCAATCCTCCACATAGAATTCAATAATCTCACTCAAATTCCAACATGTTCTAAATATAATTCTAACACTTCATATTCCTTAATCAAGTTGTAATCAAGTTGGTGACAAGTCAAATTCAACTTCCAATTCTCATTATGAACTTTATTTCAAAATTTCATTCAAGAACTCCTAACCTTTAATTCTTCCTACTCCTTTCATCTTGTTGTTTTAAGATAAATTAAGCTTTCATTAAGCTTAATTATCGTCTAATGATCAAAACCAAAACCTAATTTCAACTAATAAGCAACTAATAAGGATTTCACCTTTGGCTTGGTTATCACGTAGGAAGGAAGATGAAGAAGAGGAGAACTCTGGAAACTTGTGTGTTTCCCTCTTCACTCCACGTGGGTTAATATAATCCATAACCAAATTTAATTATTTTCCTTGCAAATGATCATTCTATCCTTCTATTCCTCCTTCTTTTCAATTTGATCCTACACCATATTTTTCATATAAGTCTTTAAACTATCCAATTATTCTACTTTAAGTACTAAATTCCATAACTTTATAATTTAGTCACTAACCTGGTATTGAAGATGTTACACTCGGTTTAGAAGAGAAAATTACATACGCGATAAATTCTTTGTTCAAATTAAAAGGAGTGAATTATTTATAGCTATCACAACTCGAATCTGTGGGCATGAAGAGATATTCCATGCATTAACAAAACATATCGTTAAAGTTTTGTTAAGTTATTAATCATATAAGATCAATTTGATTTTTTTAGAGTAAGTGGATTTCTCAGTGGTTTACTCCTTTTACAGCCGCAAACCCAAAGCATTAGCAAGCTTGTCTAATTACTTCCATTAATCTTGCTATATAAAGCTTCGCCCGACCCTACCTTCTACATTTAAACCTATAATTTTTATCTTTTATTTAATTGAATAATGTAAAGCATTTGAATCAACAATTTCACAGTTCATTAAGGAAGACATGGCAGGTAATTTAACTAAGTAAAAAAAACTAAATTCTGTCATTAACCCTTAACCTTACCATTTAAATCTCACTAATTTGATCTCCTTAAAGTTCATATATATTAAGGGAATAATGACGTATTTCAATAAATTTCATTAAAACTGCATCATAAATTTCATTAAAATACATTTTAAAAATAGATAATAATAGTTTTGAATTATATATCATAGAAAGAAGTAGAAAAAAGGTCTATAAATAAACTTGATAGACCATGGTGTTCAGCATTGTCAGCTATCTTCAACCCTCGTTCACACTCGAGCCTTCTAATCAGCTCTTATAAAATTCCATAGCCACACCACAAGACCCCCTTTCTCCACTCTCTTTTTCCTTCATTTTCCACTTGATTTCACTTCCAATATTTCTTTAACTCCTATGCTTCTTAATTGCTTTGGTTAAGCTGAGAAAATTATATATATATACTCTTTGGTTTGCTGGTTTTTTGCATTATACAGAGAGAAAAACCATAACCAGAAAGGGAAAAACTTTCCAAAGGCAAAGTGGATCGGCGACGGGGGAAGCGGCCATTTCGATATTCCGGTTATGAACCGGAACCGAAAAAAGAAGACGATGATGAAGAAGAAGCCGATGTTGATCATATATTTCCGGTGTATTCAGCTAGGTCTCAACAAGACAAGAATGCTGTGGTTCAAGCCCTAACTCAAGTTATTGGAAACAATAACAATAGCTCACTTGTTCAACCTCACGATGATCATGATCCCAACCCCATTACACAACAAAACCAATCTCATCATCAACAAGCCCAAGATCAAGGTATGTCTTGATTTCATGTGTATATATATAATTTTTGTTTTTTTTATTATCAAATAGTAACACTTTGAATTCAACGACATTTATATGATTAATAAAAAGATAAAAGAGGGAAAAAACATTTTTAATGACTTGTATAGGTATGGACTGAGGGGTGTTAGAATGCGATCACGGCTCACGTAATTTGAAAATTTCAAATTTTTATAATATTTTATTTATATTTTTTTATTATATTCTTAAAATTTTAATATAATTTATTAAATTCGCATCGGTTCATACTGACATATATATGATTGACCTTTTGATTTCTTCCTTTGCGGCCTTGTTCAGATTACAGCCGTTATTCATGTTCCAACTTAGCGCGTTATCTTTGTTTTTTTTTCCCATTTAAAAGCTTGAATTTGAATTTATTCTTTGATTTTTTTTTTCATTACAGAACAGGTCAAAACCCATATCAGTTAAAGTCTGAATACGATGTATATCACTATATTGTTTAAGCATGAGTGTGTGTGTGTGTGGTTTTTAAGGGAATGACAGGAGAAGACACTATAGAGGAGTAAGGCATAGGCCATGGGGGAAATGGGCGGCTGAGATTCGTGACCCGACAAAGGCAGCTCGGGTTTGGCTCGGAACGTTCGAAACAGCTGAAGCAGCCGCCTTGGCCTACGATGAAGCAGCACTTAGGTTTAAAGGAAGCAAAGCGAAGCTCAACTTCCCCGAAAGAGTTCAAGCAAGATCCGAATCCCGTCGTCAAGAAATCGAACCGAGGGCGGCAGCGGCGGCACCACCAACATATCCCAATATTTCTCAGTACGCGCAGCTCCTCGGCGGTGGCTCGGGCACTCATTTCAACTATGCTATGCCAAGCGCCGCCTACGGATCCTGGCCGGGATTTAATTCTCAGTCTTCATCTTCATCTTCCACGACGTTAACGTTTCAACAACATCAACAACAAGAGTATTCGGGTGGATTTTCATTGCAGTTCGGTGGTTCATCGCCAACTTCGGATCATCCCCAGAAGACGAGAGATTATGATTATTACTATTCAAAAGAATAAACCACTTGCATGCATCTCGTTTCCTTATCTTAAATGATTGGCTTGTTTAAAACCCTTGTACCAACTTTTTTCTTCCTTTTACCTTCAAGTTTTTACCAATTCCAGAATCGTTGGTTTCATCATGAAATTTTATATCGTTCTCTTATATTATTCCAAGCTCCCTTTATGAACTAGGTTAACCTTGAACCAAAAATGCAAGAATATTAGGGTGAGCAAGTTTCTTCACACGCAAGAAATATGTAGGCTTGTGGTTAAATTAACTTCGTTTTAATTAGATCATTTATAGAAATATCTCACCACTTTTAGACATTCAAATGGATTCAACTTGCATGAAGACATATTCAAACCATGATGAATATCTGAAATAAATGTTTACAAAAAGACACTTTTCAGGTATGATAAACAGAAAAGACTATCATTTCAAGAAATACAGGAGACAAGAAATGAGAGCACAAAGGAGATCCAAATGGAACAAGATAACTTGATTAATTTATTATTCTTAATATTACTAACATAAATTTTTATCTTATATTTTATTTTCTAAAAAGATAGGTATCATGAAAAAAAAATCATTTTAAAAATAAAAGTAATATTGTTTTATTATGGTGGCTAAAAGAATAGTATCTAAAGTAGTTGGATTGCTATCGTTTTAACTACTTATAATAGAGGGATATAATTATTAATATTGAGTTTATGATTAAATTTAATGTAACAAGTTAATAAAATACTAACATAATAAGATATTTATAAATACGAACCATGTTACTTCAAAGGTTAAAAGAATAGTTCTTATTCTTAGAGGTTACAGGTTCAAACACCAAAGTCTCTAGGGTATTTGAGCATTTGTTATCAAATGGTTGAGAGTCTTTAAAACAAATACTACTACTTGAAAGCATTTAGATTAATAAAAAATTAGATATTATAAAAAAAAATTATTATAAATTATTAAATATTATTTTAAAGGGTAAATTACACGCTTACTCATTGAACTTTACTCTTTTTCCTATTTCATTCACCGTACTTTCAATTTTTCAATTTATTCAGTGAACTTTACACATTGAATTTTTTTTATCACTCATTCGATGACATGGATTATTTTATTATTTTCTCATATGAAATGTCATATTTTATTAATATTTTTAATACCAAATAGGATTAGAAAATTTTTTTTGAAAGTTACAATTATATCCTTAAATTTTATCCAAATTCTCAAATTATATCCTAAATCCTAATCCCCAAATTACGTGCGGAAGAACTCGGCCCACGCGAAGCTGCCATGAAAACTTGAAAGTTGTGGTGGGATTTGTTTTTTAGAGTTTGGATGTATATTTTAATATTTTTAAGTTTATTATTATTATAATTCTAAATAATATTAAAAAATTAATAAAAACATGACATGTCATATGAGTAAATATTAAAATAATCCATGTCATTAACGAGGGATAAAAAAAAGTTAATATCTAAAGTTCAGTGAGTAAATTGAAAAAATTAAAAGTACGGTGAGTGAAATAGGAGTGAAAGTAAAGTTCAGAGAATAAGGTGTAATTTATCCTATTTTAAATTCAACTTTATCATTTAATTTTATTATATGATATTTTCAACACAACATTTACTATTATTTTCAACCATTAATTTTGAATAAAATAGCTTATTTTTAATATAAATTTACATAATATGGATATTGTTATTTTGAATAAAATAACTTTAACATACATTAGATGTTATGTATTAGATTTAGTGTTTCATCTCATTAAAATAAAGTAATAATTAATATCGTATCACTATTTACTTAGGATAAACTACACATTTAGTATCTAAACTATCAATTTTGATCCGTTTTAGTACCTAAAGTTTCAATTTTTTTAAAACCATACATAACGTTTAATTTTTATTTTATTTTAGTACCCACCGTTAAGAACTTAACACCTTTAATACCTAAATTATCAATTTTGGTCCGTTTTAATACCTAAACTTTCTATTTTTTTTTCAAATTTAACGTTGAATTTTGAACAACGGTACTAAAATGAAACAAAAACTAAACTTTATGTATGATTTTAAAAACAATTGAAAGTTTAGGCACTAAAACAGACCAAAACTAATAATCTAGGTACTAAACATATAATTTACCCATTTAATTATGCCTAACAGTAAATGAATCTCATATCCATATGGACTTATAGAATTAACGTGCCCGAATACTTTGAGTAACCACATTCCAGTATATGGTAGTTCAGTTTAGAAGAAAAAGAAGAAGAAAGTTTGAAGTAGAAACGTCAAAGTAAAGCTAACCTTTGGAGTGTCGCATTTTGTCGGTTCAATTAAACCTACCTCTCCTCATCATGTCCTAAATATTCCAATCTTTTATTTATTTCTTCACCCTAATTATTCCCAAATTCTTTTTGCTTTTCGGCACCGTCCGTTTTGAACTAAAAAAAGTGAGTGTTGTACAATCAAATCAATAAACAAGCACTTGGTAAGCATTTTAACTATAATACACCAACCTAAAATGTTTGGAAATATCAAAGAGATTAGTTTCAAGTGGTAAGTAGTTTGATAACGCTTAAGTAAGTTTTCAAGTTTGAGTTTTTGTGTATACGAAAAAGTTCATCTGGGAGATTAACCCATTAAAAGTTAAGTGTGCGATTCGAGTCAATCCAAATTAATCAAGACAAAATCTTAGGAACCGGGAGCTACAACAAAAAAAAAGTTGGAAATATATGTGTGTGTGTGAGAGACATATGAGATGAGCAATTGCGCGCGCGAGAGAAACGACATGGAGCCGAAGGCAAATGAAGTGACGGGGGAGCGGCAGAACCAAATGCTGGGCGACATAGAGCCTTGGCGGTGGGGGTCAAACTTTGCGGCAACTCTTCCACTCAACTTCCTCTCTTGTTCAACTATCAACCCATTGTATTCAATGATCAAAATAGAAATATAATAATAATTTAATGACCAAATGGATAATATATCATTTTTAATAATAATAATTTTATTTTTTGCAACAAAATAAGTAGAGATATTAATATTAGAAAAGAATGAAGAATCTGGTTTAGACTGCCCCACAAGTAAAGCAAGTAGCCTTAAGGTTCAAATGCATTGCCCTTAATGTATATCATTTATATCGAGTTGTTCTCTAAAATATTTTTCGAGACATTATATTCTTTAAAGTCTAAATCATTACGTCGTTTATTCCAAACCGTTAACTGTATTAAAAAAGTAAGGTTAAATTACATATTTAGTTAATTATTCTAAGCAGTTCCACTTTAGTCACCCAACTAATGTTACTTTTCAAAATCATCACTAAACTTAAGTTTTTGTTCTGTTTTGATCACCTGATTCGATTCGATTTATTTTTCAAATTTGTAATATATAAAAATTTATATACATCATGGTAAAATTAATATATATAAAAATTCATTTTTATCTTTTAAATACATACAATATTATAATATTAATTTTTTTAATTCTGAGCACTTATCATTTTTACAACCATTAATGTTCAAATCTGGCAGAAATAATACGGCAAGTCTCTAAAATTCATATATATATATATATATATATATATATGTGTGTGTGTGTGTGTGTTTCAGATACAATTTAATGGAATGATGACATTAAGACAGATTCTAAGTTCGGAAAATAACTCACCATACTCTTTACTTTTATTCATTCAGGAAAACCTAACAGGATGAAATACTGCAACGAAAAGCCTGCGAAAACGGTTGTTCACTCAAACATGAGTAGAAGGGTGGGTGTCCAGCCCATAGCAATAGTAATTTCTTCTTTACTAATGAAAAAGGAAGAGAATACTGCATATGGACTTGAACTTAACGTATGGTGGTAGCAGACCAGACTATTGAAGAAGCATAAAACGGGATCCAAAATCATGCAAAAAGCTTTAATACGAGTCAAAGATTTGATTGAATCTAAGACATGGCGCGAAGCTCAGAAAGAGTTGAGGAAGAGTTCTTCATTGTTGAAGCAGGATATTTATACCATCGTTCACGGGAAACCTGGGAATCAAAGGCCTGATCAACTTAGGAAGCTTTATTCCAATTTTTCCCAGAGTGTAACAAAGTAATGATTATCCTTTTTTTTTCCCATTTATGTGTTTGCTTTGGTTCTTTTGCAGTGCTATGATAAGATTGTTTTAGTTCTCAAACATATTTTGTCAAAACTCAAAACTATGAGTGGGGTTTTATAGTTTTTTTGTTGTTCTCTGTGCTGTTGAAGCAATTTTGCTTTGGTTCTTTTGCAGTGCTATGATAAGATTGTTTTAGTTCTCAAACATATTTTGTCAAAACTCAAAACTATGAGTGGGGTTTTATAGTTTTCTTTGTTGTTCTCTGTGCTGTTGAAGCAAATTCCCAGCTAACTAAGGGATGAACATTATAATTGAATATACAAGATATTATTATAGTGTATAAGCCTACTATTTAGTTAATTTTAATTTTAATATTTATTTTGTTAAAAGATAAAAATGAATTCTTATATATTAATTTTATTGGGATATAAATGATTCTTATACATTACAAATTTGAAAAATAAATGGAATCAAATTAGATGATCAAAATAGAACAAAAATTTAAGCTTAGTGATGATTTTGAAAAAAATAATAGTTAGATGATCAAATCAAAATGAAACTGCTAGAATATTCAAATTACTTAATATGTAATTTATCTTTTTTAGTTAACGGTTTAAAACAAATAAAGTAATTAATTAAATTTTAAAAAATATTTTAAGAGATAACTCGATAATATCGATATAGTCAAAGATACATTTAAGTCTATCTTAAATAAAAATCCAAAAGTGGTTGAATGGATTCTAGAAGCATTGAAGTACAAATGAGTGGGGGTGGAAACATGTTGTAGACGGAGAACTGAATGTCAACAAAAAATTATTACAGTCCAGCTTTATGTCACCGTTGTTGTTGTTGTTGTTGTTGTCGGGGGACGCGTTTCTGAGTTTTTATCACCACATGTAATCAATCTTCTCGTGCTTCAAAAAATCTTGCCAATGGAAAAATTCATGAACCTCATCATGAAAACTTCATCAAGTTCCAATGCACAGCCTGGTTGTTGACCTTTTGTAACCTCTCTATATAATATGTATATAGACAAACAGATTCCTCTCTCAACTAATCAAACGTCAAGACTTCCCTTCCCTCAAACCTAATTTATTCATATTAATATAGATAAGTAATAGAGATTAAAATCATATTTGTATCATACACGATTATTTAAAATATAATGTTTTCTGTTTTTTTATCAAAATAAATATCTAAAATTATTATTTTGATTTAAAATATATCTTTGATCAAAATAAGCACTTAAATTATTTAATCTTTTCCATCTAAATTTTAAAAAGTTGACACATGACAGTAATTAAAGAATATTTTAAGTACTTAAACTAAAAATGTATATTATAAGTATCTATTTTGATAAAAAAATATTTTAAATACTTATTTTGACTAAGAAAATAATTTTAAATATTTATTTTCACAAATAGTATTTTAATTGCTTAAATGAAAAGGACTATATAAATTAGGGATGGCAACTCAACCCGAATCCGACGGGTTCCGACCCGATCCGACCCGATCGGGTCGGATTTTTTTTTAAAAAATTTCGGGTTTGGGTCGGGTTTTTTTAAATGTACTGTTCGGGTCGGGTTTAGGGTGAAAAAAATCCGACCCGACCCGACCCAAAAAATATATATAATTTTATCCTATATATTTAGGGATAATTACAATAATGTCCCTCCATATATAATTTTTTTCAATTAAGTCACTGTTTTCATTGAATAAATTTTTTTTTATTATTATTTCGGGTCGGGTCGGGTCGGGTTTTTAAGTCATATATTCGGGTCGGGTCGGGTCGGGTGAAACCTTAATTTCGTCGGGTCACGGGTGAAAAACCCTTTCTTCTCAGGTCGGGTCGGGTGGCCCAAAAACCCGACCCGACCCGACCCATTGCCATCCCTAATATAAATTATACTTTTTTTTATCTTTATTATCCATAAAAATCTCTTTATCTTTTAATTATATATCTCAACTGTTAATAATTTTAAAATAATATAAAATTAAAAGAAATGATCCCATCCAAACGTAACCCAACAGAACTATAAGTATTAACATGCAGGAACAAAGTCACCTTTTAGCCCTTACTTCCAGGGACAAAGCTTTCATGTTCCCCCTTTCCCATGCCACAGGCAACAACAAAGAGTTTTCAACGAGGCCTTCCTGCCTAGCAGAGGGAAGGGGGGAGGCAGCTTAATATAATACTAAAAAAAAGCGATCTAAAATATTATAAATAACATAATATTTTAATATCGCCTAAAATGCATATGTATACACACTTTTCAAATACCAAACGCACGTTAAGGCCTCACTTTATACAAGGTGTGGACACACTTTTTAGATAACTTAATTTAATATTAATATTTAATATCTCGCGTTACACAGAACGTGAGGTCTTTAAGATATTGAACCGTCTTGAGAAATTTATTACGAGTGGTATTTAACATACTTCACGTTTTCTAAAGAGTGAGGTATGTATTCATTTTCAAATTAAATTTAATCATTTAATTTTATTATTTAATTTAATCATTTTATTGTTACTATATAATATTTATAAATAACATAACCTCTATGTTATATAATATATGAACATAATATTTTTAATTACATAATATTTAGTAAAACAACATAAAAAGTAGCTTGTTATAAATGGACAATACCAATGGTCAACATCCCCTGTATATATACAATGTTACAAAATAAAATTACTTCATGGTTCCAAAAACAAGAAGCATAACATGTACATAGATTATTGTAATATATTTGCCAAAGTGGTAGTTGGTGGTATGAATTATGCCTGTAATACCTAATTTTTGTCCGGCCGAGTTTTATTTTCCAAAGCCCAAACATTTTATTGAAGCTGATTTTAAAACCCAAAACATTAGCCGACTTGCAACAAATTTCAAGCAAGATCCAAATGTTTTCAGGACATGATGTCTTCTTGAGATAGAACAGTCTTTCATGTAAATTAAGCTTTAAGAGGATAATTTGTTTAAATTATCCTTCAACAATATGATTTTCACTCCGCTCTGAACATACCTATCAAGCCATGTAAGCATCTTCTTCATGTAAAAAATCAAGCTTTGGAATCATTTTGAACGTGATTTTTACCCCGATTAGAATGCCTCGTATGTGCCAATATTACTATCAGTTGAAAGATAAGTTACAATACTTCACCTTTACTCTTACAAATTATGCAATTTTTCAGATTAACTACTGAAAACCTCCCTCCAATATGTCTACCAAACCATTTTAGCATTTTCTTCATGCACAAAACAAGCTTTAGACTATTTTCAACGCGATTTTTAACTTGCTTACGATATCTTGTATGTCTCGATATTGGCCTTATCTGAGAGATAAATTCAAATACTACGTCTCTAATTTTATAAATTACGAAAATTTTGATATTAAATACCCGAATATGCCCCCCAGACATGCCTTTAAGCACCTATGATTTGGGATGAAAACAACATACCTCGCTCTTTCGAAATACGAGCTATGTTGAATACCACTCACGATAAATTTCTCGAGACGATTCAATATCTTAAGGATCTTGCATTATGAGTAACACTAGGAATTAAATACCAATATTAAATTGTGTTGTTTGAAAAATCCCATTTGACGTATCTCGCACCTTGTAAAAAGCAATGCCTTAACGCTCGTTTCGTAAGACGAAAGTTGGTCTTACGTGTTACTTTGAGAGAGATTTTTCTAATAAATCTGGTTTGGGTATTTTTCAACAAAAAAAAAGAATTATTGGGCTTTTATATATATATAATTACGCCTTTCAAAGAAGTAAAGGATATTGAACAGAAATAATGCTATAGAATTATTATTAGAAGTAAATATTATGCAGAGAATAATGTAGCATGTTCATCATATCCCATCAGCATACTGTGTTTCAAACACTGCCGTCTTGCAACAAACTCGGCCCACTGGGCAGCTGACGCCCAAGGAGTTACAAGCTAAAGCTATCATCTGATCGGTAAAGATTCAGAATGATATTCAATTAATTGAATTGAGTGATCAGTCTGGGTGTAACATGTTCCACAAAATTATACATCTGGGGTTCCCTGATCTTTCTTTTGGTATACTGTTTCTAAACACTCTTTAGCTCGGTGGACCTTTGACTGCAGGTAAAAGCTCCCATTCTTCGCATTTTGCTCGAATAAGTTGTCGTATTTCTGCGTTAGTTCATGGAAAAGCTTTCATCAAAACTTTCATAAAAGGGATGGTATAATATCTCAGGTAAGACTATCTAGCAAACCTTCAAGATTTCCTCCCATGATGAATGCTCGGTAACCCCTAAAATCTGCCTTGCCTCTGGTTCGGCCACAATTTTGCTTCCTCTCCTGATGTTCTGCATTGTTTCTTGAGCAACGCCAGATTTCGAGGCATCTGCAAACAAGCACAAAGCAGTAATGATCAATTCGAGGATTTAAAACATAGCATGCAAATTTTGTAAATATAAATTTATGATAATTATTTTTTATTTAAAAAAACAATAAACAGAAAAGTTGCCTTCACATATGAAAGACAAGACATACTTGCAAGAGCCTGACGGTATGCCTGGAATACTGCCCTTCCCAATATGCCAGAGCCCATAACAATCAAGTTTGCAAGAATTCTTGCAGCCTGTACAAATACACAAACAGTTAACTGTCTGTCTGATAGCATTTTTCTGTTATTTTAGTTACTAAGATTTCCCCATTTTCTTGAATGTGAAACTGTGAATAAACAAAGCACATACCCTAGAGCCATTGAATGTAAACAAATTTAGGGCAAAAAATACAACAGTTACGTGTACTGTCATAAGGTTTTTGACAAGCTATTTCAATAGATAACTAATTTAGGGCCAAAACTACAAATATTATATATAACATCATAAGGTCTTCAACAAACTATTTCATCATATTGAATAATGTGGTAAACTGGTCAAAACTATCAAAAGGAAAACATAAACGGAAAGCGTAGTCCGTCCTAATGTAAACGTGATACGCAATTAAATCCTATCCTAACCAAGTCCCCTAAATCAGCATTACTAGCTTGATGCCTAGAATGCATTAACAATATAAATGTTCTAGTGGTGAGATTTGACAAGAAAACTAACATCTTGGCATCCTAAAACTTGTATTCATATTACCAGGAGTTGCTCGTAAATATTAATTCTTAACGCACAACTCAAGCAAGTATGATATCAATATGCAAATATAAGATGAGTACTTCAGAAGATATTCTACATTGTCATGTTTGAGGAGACAACAAAATTACCGACATGGAACGAAATTCCCTTGACGCCTTCCCGAAAAAAGGTTCTCAAGATACCACTTCGAGGACATGAACAAGTGCTTCCCAACAAAACACACAACTTTTTTTGACTTGCCTAACATTCCTAGCATAATAAGTAAGGGTTCTTACACAGAATAGTACCAAAATGAAATTCCCTAAGTCGTTTAAAACTAATAGATCTCGTTATTACCTTTACATGCCTCTGAAAATGACACATTTCAGTGAAATATCAATAGGAAAAACCAATAAAGCACCCAATCTCAACAAAAAGTATAGGGAACATAAAAATCAGGGTTCAGGCTCATTTACCATTGATGAAGATTTAAGTTACTGTTGACGATAACTCGGTATCCCCAAAGCCTAAAACAGAATCACCTTTGGGGAAAATCAGAGCAAATCAAAGCGAGAAACAATACCAAACACAGAGCTGTGAAAAAAACGGTGTTGTTCCGAAGTTGGAAGCAGATCAGAAGAACAAAAGGCAAAGAAAAAGTAAATCAAGAAGAAGTGTCAGATGATTTGAACTATCGGTGTTCGAAACGAAACCCTAGAGGCAGATAGGAAAGGGCCAGGAAAACGTGTCACCGCCTCTATGGCCAAGACAAATAAATAAATGGTGTAATTCTAGTTTTAAACCCTCTATTATGATAACCTTTCTACATTTAAAATCTTTTTAAAATTGTAGATACAGTTTTAGATTAACAATTGAATTCAATATAACTTTGTAAAAATGCTTTCAGCTACCTACATATTTCTTTACCTATCAAAATAGAATCTACTCTATAGTTTAATGACTATTAAAATAATTTTCCCTAATCAGGTCATATTTTCCTTCCCACATCATCTTTAACCTATCTTCTACTTTTATTTATCTAAAATATCATATGAAGATTATATACGAAAACCGTTTAAATATATATATATATTTATTTATTTATACATGTATTGAATTTTATTTTAATTTTTAATTTTTTAACTGTTAGAGATCTTTTACGAAAACTGCTCTCAATTATCGGTTGAGGATAACCTATTACTTTATCTCTTTTTACTTCATTAAATATGACAATAGTATTTTATTATTTTGTTTGGTTAGAATAAAAGACCGGGAAATCATATATATATATATATATATATAGTTCGAGGGTTGATGACAATGGAAAATGGTTGGGTTCTGGTGAAATATGAGTGGACTTCTCATCTAATCATATAATTTTCTTATTTATATAAAATCAAACTAAAAAGAGCAAAAATGAAGCTAACCTTTGCTTGTCTACTATCATAATCCATTGGCCTTTCTTTGTCAAAAGAAAGAAAACCCATTTCTTTCGCACCCTTAAAAATCTGGAAATTCATAAGAAACCTTCTTTGACTTGCTTGTTCTTGTGACTTCACAATTGCTTTTGTTTCTTCTTGTCTCTTTATTTTCTCTTTGGGAGTGGGGCTGGAGATCGCAGCTGAATCTTGGGATTGTTCTTCTTTTGAGCTGGGATTCTTTGCCACTTTATTTTTGTTTAATATTAAAAGTGTAAGACTCGGAAGAGGAATGGAGATTTGGAGATGGGTTTTTATTGGAATTCTTTTTATTGCCGATTCTATGGTCAAGATTGAGCCTTTCAAGCTGGGTCGTAGTCAACCTACGGAGAGAATCTCAGGTAAGATTTACCCTTTTTTACCATAATTATCTCGCTGTTCATTTAGCTGAGATTTAGGAATTGATTTTGATAATTATTTTTTTGGGTTCTCTTTACTTTTTAACTACTGATTCCGATCTGCTTAAGTCCAAGCTGAATTGGTATTTGCTTGGTTGTTTATAACATCAAATTAATTCATCCTTTTTAAATCCACTTTATTTCAATGTTCGCATTTCTCTCCAAAAAGTGCCGATTTTCGTGTGAAAATATAAATATTTCCTAAGGTTAAAATAGTAGTTAATCCCAAAATGAAGTGCCCATTCGTAACGTTAGAACAGAAATGGTCTGTTATACGATGATTTATGAACTTAGGCTTAAGGTTAGTGTGCAATAATTGCTTCTAGAAAAATAATCTGAAATAGGATGATCAAAATTCTATTTCGAGGATTGCTTTGGGCTGTTTTAGGTGGAATTTTTAAGGGATTCTTTCTAAGCAAACTACTTTAGAATATATGAATTATATTAACATTGTACGAGTTTGGAGATTCAATTACGTGCTTCACAAATGTGGCATGAGCTACTTAGTAGGGTCTGTTTGGTTTCGGAACATTTTTTCCCTTTAGAAGGTTGTCCGACGTTAGTTGTATATAGAGTCGAAGGGGAGACGGAAGAGATTGAGGAGCAGTGAAAGTTTCCTTCTTGGTCAGTTGAATCGATGTTGAGCACCTTTGTCTCTCCTACGTTCTTTGCAATTGACATGTTTTGATTCGCCTACTGCATCACGTATCATAAAAGTTTACTACTAAACAATCAAATTCTCGTGCTATCAGATTTGGTGTGTGGAATCACCAATTTGATGTGGTTTTCATGTTCGCAGGCAGTGCTGGTGATGTCTTGGAAGATGATCCGGTTGGAAGGTTGGAAGAAGATATTGCAGCAGGACCCGAGATGCCTCAACCACATGTTTGCTGCTGAGTTTTACATGCATAGGTTTCTTTTATCCAGCCCTGTTCGAACGCTTAACCCTGAGGAGGCTGATTGGTTTTACACTCCCGTATACACTACATGTGACATCAAATGGCCTCCCTTTTCCATTTAAGTCACCAAGAATAATGAGAAGTGCAATACAGCTTATTTCTTTGAATTGGCCTTATTGGAACCGGACATAAGGGGCTGATCACTTCTTCCTCGTGCCACATGACTTTGGAGCATGCTTCCATTATCAAGTATTTCCTATTATTCTCCATTTCCTGCACTATCCTCTATGATAATCAACACGTTTTTCCAACTGATTTGGTTGATTATTTTGATTTCCTGCCATGCTCCACTGAATTTTATTTGGTTCTTGTTTTCTGGATCTTTTATTTAGAGTAGATCATTACCTATTCACACATGTTATTGCAGGAGGAGAAAGCTATTGAAAGAGGGATTCTTCCCTTACTCCAACGAGCCACACTGGTTTAGACTTTTGGACAGCGGAATCATGTTTGCCTGAAAGAGGGATCAATTACAATTCCACCATATGCTCCACCCCAGAAAATGCAAACACACCTGATTCCTGAAAAAACTCCTAGGTCCATTTTTGTTTACTTCCGCGGACTGTTTTACGATGTTGGAAATGATCCTGAAGGTGGTTACTATGCAAGGTATGTCTCACCAAGCTGACCTGTTAAGAGACTGGTGTTTGAACGATAAAAGGTCTTTACTTTTCTTATGAGATGTAAATGGAAGAAAAGTTGTTGGGATAATATACGGTTGCCATGTCACGTTAACCCGAGATATTATGCTGTGGAAATTATGGTATTAGAATTAAGGGCCTGCTTCTGTGTTGCTGAAAACATTTACAGAACCATGTAGAGGTTGCCGCATGTCAGAATGAAAATATCTGATGGAACTTTTTTCAATGCTATTTATGGATGCTTGCCTGAAGATTAATGTCACCCGAGTTCAACTTGTTCGACAAATTTGCAGGGGAGCTCGAGCTGCAGCATGGGAGAACTTCAAGGACAACCCACTCTTTGACATATCGAATGAGCACCCAACTACATACTATGAGGGTATGCAGCGAGCTGTATTTTGTTTGTGTCCACTTGGGTGGGCTCCTTGGAGCCCTAGATTGGTTGAAGCAGTGATATTCGGATGCATTCCTGTTATTATAGCAGATGACATTGTTCTACCCTTTGTTGATGCAATTCCATGGGAAGAAATCGGTGTTTTTGTCAACGAGAAGGATGTCCCCAACTTGGACACGATACTCGCATCGATCGCACCTGAAGTAATATTAAGAAAGCAGAGATTGCTCTCCATCCCCTCAATGAAGCAGGCAATGTTATTCCCCCAGCCTGCTCAACCCGGAGATGCTTTCCATCTAGTCTTGAACAGACTTGCTCGTAAGTTGCCGCATGACAGGAGCGTGTACTTGAAACCTGGTGAAAGGGTCTTGAATTGGACTGCCGGCCCCGTCGGTGACCTGAAACCTTGGTAGCAGTTCTAACATCAAATACCTAAAACGTTCTAGCATTCAGCTCAGTCGACCTAGGGTTGATCTCTGTAATGGAAATGGCATTAGAATATTGGTCTGTTTTGGCAGGCTTTAGTAATGCGATTGTTCTTTGTTATCTGTTCCAGCATTCATCAAATCTTAATTTCTCCCACTCAATGTGCATGATGCTAGAAAAAAGCTGAATTTTTCCCCCTACTAATTTAATATCATTTCAAATACGACTCTCAATAATTTGATATTAAAGATTTATACCTTTGACATTCGTGATACTCGAATCTAAGAACTCATCGATCACGAGATCACTTGGTTGGTGCAAAAGAAAAACATTAAAATTTCACTCTCAATTTTTGGTTCGTGCAAAAGAATTGTATAATGTTTACGTGGATCTATATATATATATATATATATATATATATATATATATATAGAGTTAAAGATCTATGTAAACATTGTACAATTCTTACTTTTTTTTGCACATTTTTTAGATAGTTGAGTTTAATGATCTAGATCAAAGCTTTTAAGTTGAATATAATCTATTTTTTTCATTAAAAATCTTTCATTATTGAGTTAATATAAAAATAAATGCATAAAATATACATTTTTTATTTAGGTGTTTAAATTATTTTTGACCAAATTCAGGTGTAACGTTTTCAACATTACACTTTGTGTCTGGACCGTTATCATCGTTAAATGACACGTGTTACCTTCATAAAATTTTAAAAATTTATATTTTAAAAATAAAAAATTACCTGAGCATGACACGTGTTATTTAATGACAGAATATAATGTTATTACGACCGATGCACCTAAGTGTAAAGTTGAAAACTTTAGACACCTAGATTGACAAAAAAAATTAGACTCTTAAAGTGAAAATACTATATAATTTAGACACTTATTTTTGCATTATACTTTCATTATTTATTGTTAATATTATCCAATAGATCAATTAATCAAATTATTCAAAAATACAAAAATAAAAATTGTACATTATGTTAATGATTCATATTTAAAATTTAATATATATACTTCACTTTGTAAAATTAAGTTTTTGTATTATTTTTTGTTTAAAAATGAGCTGAATAGTAGACTGGCTACCTGGAAGATGCTTTGGAAGAAAAAGGTTTAAGGATCAATATTGAAAAGATAGAGTATTTATGTTCAAATTTCAGTGGGAACCAAAACGATGAAGATGTAGAAGTATGCATCGATGGACACGTTCTCCCCTCAAAGGAATGTTTCAAGTACCTAGGGTCTATGATACATAAAGATGAGGGTGTAGAAAATGACGTTACACACCGTATAAAGGCGGGATGGCTAAAGTGGAGGGCTGTTACTGGAGTTTTGTGTGACAAGAAGGTGCCTCTAAAACTTAAGGGAAAATTTTATAGAATGGCAATAAGACCAGTGTTGATATATGGATCAGAATGTTGGGCAATCAAGAAGGATCACGTAAGGAGGATGAAGGCCGCATAAATGATAATGCTTCGTTGGACATGTGGTAAGACTCTGTGGGACATGACACCAAACTTTGCAATTAGGATGTCCTTGGGGGTGGTTCCTGTATCCGAAAAATTGAGGGAGGGAAGACTACGGTGGTTTGGGCATGTCCTTAGGCGACAACTGTCAGATACGGTCAGGAGGGTAGAGTTGATTACAGTCGAAGGTTCCAGAAGGAGAGGACGACCAATGAGGAAGTGGGTAGACTGCTTGAGATCTGATTTGAAGGATTTAGCACTTACCGAGGACATGACCTCTGACAGGAAAGTATGGAGACTTAAGACCAGGGTAGCCGAGTAGTGTGGGTCACACCCATGGGGTGTAGCATCTATGTCTTCTTTTTAATGCCTCTGTAGTGTTTTCCATGACTTCTACTTCTATACGTTTCTGTCATTGTAATCTATGAAGGCCCAGAACTAGAGTAGCAGAGTAGTGTTGCCTTAGTTTAGGTGGTAACCCATTTGACTTTATTCCTTCTAGTAGCTTGCTATCGCTGACTACTCTGTATTCCTTCCCTTCATGTTTCCTCTTTTTAAATTTAGCCGGGACTTACATTTCTGTCTATATGCAGAGATTATTACGAAGGGATTACTTCCTATTACAGACGCGCATATGAAGACTGCATATGAAGACTGCATATGAAGACTGTTCAACTATGTATTTATTTATTTATTTATACATGCATTGTATTTTATCTTTATCTTTATTATCTTTATTTTTAATTTCCTTGACTGTCGGAGGTCTTCCATTGAAGCTGCTCTCAATCTGGCGTTGGGGGCAGCCTACTACACTACCTCCCCTTACCCCATTACATATGGGAATAGGGTTTTGTTGTTGTATTATTTTTTGTTTAAGAATTTAGGACTCTCCCCTAATAATTTTATTGTTAATTATCAATCGAATTATAAAAAAAGAGGGTAAATTAGCTTTTTTTCTTCTTATAAAATCCATCAATTTTATTAAAAATAGAAGATATCTAAATTACAATAAAGGTTTACAAATACAATCGTAAACTAAACACATAATAAAAATATTTTCCTAAACACGAGAAAACTAGTCATTTAAGATCCCAAGGACCATACAAGGAAAAGGTTAAAAATCTAACCAAATAAACTCAGAAAAAATATAGATATGAACAGATCTGAATGCATCATCAAATGAATCACAAAATGGATGAAAGTATTGAAAGATCATCAACAAATCGCAGATAAGAATTGAGTGATGTAAAAATACCATCCACGAACATAAATCATGTATCTAAATTCAATCCAAAGGTCCAAAACAAGGAAGATCAACATGATAACAAATAAAACATCATATTGATCAGTCGTGGCGATGTTAAATTCAACCCTGAAAAAAGAATAAACAAAAAATAACGGTCAAACGACCGAAAACGTGTCATAAAAGGCAAAAAAAAAACGTATCATAAAGGCAGAAGAAAACGTGCTATAAAAGCATAATTATTAAAATTAAAAACAAGAAAAAAAATAAAGATACGCTATAATAAAGTAAAGAAAAAACAATAAATACCGACGATCAACGATTAACACCAAAGTTGATTCCTTCATAGATCACAAAAATGAAGAAGAAAAGAGACTAAGAAAAAAAGGGAGAAAAATAATACAAACCCCCAATATAAAGAAAGTTTAACTTAATTTTTAGGGTGAATTACACCATTCCTCATTTAATTATACTCTCTCTCTCCTATTTTGCTTATTGTACTTTTAATTTTTCTAATTTACCCACTAAATTTTTGAATTGCTCATGTTTTGATCACTCTGAAGTATTTTATTATTATTTTGATATGACATAACACTTTTATTATTATTTACTATAAAATAATTTAAAACATAAAATAAAAACAGAAGGTGACTGGACGCCATCGCCAGCCATCGTTGATTACATAGATGGTGGTCGTTCGGTCCCGAATTTCATGGGTCGGTTCATCTCGACCCTCTAAGTCTGAATCTAATGGTTGTTTCACTGGAAAATGTCCAAAAACCCATGAAAATCGACTAAAATGTTTTGGTTTCCTCGTTTTCAATCTATAATTCATGGACTTCGGAGCAATTTCTGACAAAATAGAGGTCGGGTTCGGAAGCACGATGTTGAGGGGAAGTGACTTATGAAATTTAGGATCGAACGACAAACATCTACGGTGGTGTCCGACCACCTTCTATTTTTATTTTTGTTTTAAATTATTTTATATTAAATAATAATAATAAAATAACACGTCATATGAAAATAAAGAGTGATCAAAATAAGAGCAATTTGAAAGTTCAGTGAGTAAATTAGAAAAATTAAAATTACGGTGAGTAAAATAGAAGAGAAAATATAGTTCAGTGAGCAATGGTGTAATTTACCCTAATTTTTTTTGGGTAAATTATAGCCTATTTATTTATAAAAGTATTTTTGGTAAATTAGCTTTTTTAGTCCTTTATATTTACATCTTTTATGAAATTTACCTTTTAAAATTATAAATAACATAATTTTCAATAATTTATATGCATAGTATTTTAAATATTAAATTGACAAAAACTACAAATGTAGAGGACTAGAACGAGACTTTGAAAATAAAATTAGGAAAAGAGGAAGAAAAAGAAGGTAGGGAAAGAGCTTGTGTGGGGAGCATGAAAGCCACGCTTCCAAGTATTTTCTCCAAAATACACCAATTCATCTCTCTCTTATCTTCTTCTTGTTCCTCTCAACTCTTCTTTTTCAATCCTTTCAAAAATCAAAGCAGCACCTCCAGGCAAACAGAAAGAAGCAAAACAAAAGCAGAGCAAATACGTAAATGGCGCTTCAGGCCGCGCCAACACTACCCTTTAAAACAGTTAATTCTCCACTTGCTCCAACACCCAATGCCGGCCTCCGGCCACCATATGATCGCTTTGCTTTGAAATCGCCGTTCTTTTCTCCATCGCTTCATCTCTTGCTTCCTTCTCGTCTTGCCACTAACACTGATTCAGCTGCTCCAAGGTTTTCCATGCGTGTGGCCCCCAAGCAAGCTTATATTTGCCGGGATTGCGGGTATAGTACACCTCCCAGTTTTGATCTTCTTTGTAATTTTCTTAAACTTGTTGATTACCTCTTGAGATCCAAGGGTTCTTGAATTTATTTATCATCTGGACGATTGTTGCAGGTATATATATAATGAGAGGACTCCCTTTGAGAAAGTTCCTGATAGTTATTTTTGTCCCGGTAAGGTTCCAGTTGAGTTGAAAGTTGAAACCATTGTTGAAATTTCTTGGTAAACCGAGTGCTGCATTAGCTTTTACCATTGTTTATCTTTAATGGTTCTTTTTTTTTTGCAGTATGTGGTGCTCCAAAGAGGAGATTCAGGCCATATCAGCCAGCTGTGGCAAGAAATGCTAATGAAAAAGATGTGAGAAAGGCTCGAAAAGAACAAACGAAAAGAGATGAAGCTGTTGGGTAAACTCCTTTAAACAACTTTCATTAATCCTTCAGCAGCACTTGTTAATTCTCTTTGTTGATCGGCTATCTTTTTGGTTGCATGTTGGAAACTAATGCAGGAGGGCACTGCCTATTGGAATTGTGGTCGGAATTGCAGTACTCGCCGGTTTATACTTTTATCTCAACAGTACCATTGGCGGCTGAATGAAATCGACTAAATTCTGTCAAATCTTATAGAATTTACAGGACCAATGTTGTGATTTTGTTATATTTCTGTAGAATTTCAGTTCAATCCACTTTTGTTACTTTGACGCTCACGATTGTAATCTATGGTAGAAGTTTTATGTGTTTAATTTTCAGCTGATGAATGTCAATATTGCGTAAATGAATCAGGCTTGAAAATAAGCTCGTATTTATATTCCTTTATTTATTTTCGAAGAGTTTTAGGTCGTTTGCATGTTCAAAAAATGGTATAATTATTCCATTGGTCCTTAAACTTGGAAAACATAACAGTTTGAACCCCAAAGTTCACACTAGGGTTGTAAACAAACCGAGTCGAGCTCGACTCGATTCGAAAACTCTAAAATAGAGCTTGGATCGATTTTAAAACTCGTAAGCCTAAAATTTTCAAGCTCGATTCGAACTCGAAACCATGAATTGAAGTTCGTAAAAGTTTGAAATGAAAAAAATTTCTTAAACTTAACTCGATTGAAGCCTTAAACTCAAACTCGAACCTTAATTTTAAATACATGAAAATCTTATGCTTTATTTTTTTAAAAGACAACACATAAATGTTAATATTATTAATGATTATTTTTTAAAAAAATAAAATCTTAATATCTTATATTTTTGAGTTGCTCGCAAACTTTTCGGATCGAGTATCAAATAACTCATTTCGACTCGTTAAAAATTCGATTGAAGCTCAAACTCTAGTCGAGTATTTATTGAGCTTTGACCGAGTCAATCTCGAGTAGCTCACGATTTGTCTCGTCTTATTTACGCCCTAGTTCACATTAGTTCAATTTAATTCATATCTTCACCAATACTTAAAATTAAAAAAAAAAATAAGATAATCAGAAGAACGAGTTTATAAACGAGTTGATAAATGAACTTATAAAACAAGTCAATAAATAAGACTGTAGATAAAGATAATCAGAAGAACAGCTACCACTTCAAATGTCATTACATGAGCAGTGTAACCTGCACTCCCCATAAAAATTTCCAATGTTTCTCACCAACAATCAAATGAACGAACTTCAAATTCTTTAAAAGTACATTTTTTTTAAAACAATTTAAATAGTATCAAGAGAAGTCGTGGAGCTAATACCAGTGTAAAATGCCCTGTAAACAGGACGCTTAGTGATGACATCTTCATAGTACCAAATGAACCCAACTTTCTCCCACACATTACAAAGGAACACATAGTACCAACGCGGGCGGAGAATGCCGACATCGAAGTGCAAGACTCTGCATTCTTTGTTAGTGTAGATAAAGGAAGCGCCGTTGTCCCATTCGAGGTCGTAAGTGAGCTTACCGAGCTGGTTCTGGATGATGTTGAAATTGCGGCCATTAAGCCAGTCGTACTAGAGATCGACTTCCTGGAGAGTGCCGCTGTTGTTCATGAAGACTTGAAGAGAACGGAGTGGAACTGAAGAGGCCATGTCAATGGCGTTGGGTCCTTGGGTTTCGATGAGAATGCCGAGAAATGGAATGAAATGAATAGAAGAAAGACGAAGATGGGTTTAACTGCTGAAACCATTTAAAAAGGTTGAAGCTGATGAAGGAAAAGAACAGCAAACAGCGCTGAAGATAATGGAGAAAGGAATAGAAATTTGAGGTTGGCAGTTACCTTGAAAAAGTAGCTTTATAAATAAAAACAAACCATGGAAAAATCTATCAGATCACTGGAATGCAATCAAATTAGCCTGTAAATCAACACTGCGTTTCATGAATTATTTCTAAATTGTTTGTATATAATTTTTTTGTGAAGTTAAATAAATAAGTTTGAATAAAATTTTCATGTTTGTTTAATAAACAAACGATCTCGATTAAAGATGTGTTCCGTCGTTCTGTTCATGAGCAAGCTCGTTTATTGGATCGTTTATAAGCTCATTTACTCGTTCTCTTTTTTCTTTTCTTTTTTATATTTTTAATATAGGAGAAGGTAGGGACTAAATTGAATGTAAACTAAACTTTGGAGTTTAATGTGAAATAGAAGAAACTTAATGACTAGTGGCCTAATTTTATCATTTTTGGCATGCAAACGAAAAGATAAAGAGTGTTGATTGCCTAATATCAAATAAATATGTTCGTGAATGCTAAACAACCGAACATGAATATATTCAAAAATAAATAAACAAACATAAACACTTGGCTATTTAAACTCAAGGAGGAAGATCCTTCCATTACTCGTGACATGATCATCGAGGTTATTTGATTTTTCCCATTAAACTCAAGTCTCACTGTAGCAACTTAAATACTTGGCTATTTCTCTAGCATCCGAATTAATCTCCTAAGAACTTTCCGCTCTTGTTTCATGATCATCAAATCCAATGGTGGTATTGTGTGATGCCAATCTTCACGAGCTTATCCAATGCGAAATCATATCTGTGATGGGGATACACGACTCGCTTCTACGTCACCATTTATTTAAGCAATCCTCAAATCTCTGATATGGATCGGCTAGTGTCGACTGGTTGGTATAACTGCTTGAATAAGTTCATTATCATATAATGCATCTAAACTTGGTCTGTCACTTTTATGCAGCTTTTTTGTAATGTGTCGACTGTGTTTTTTTTTTTTTTTTGATAGAATGATTCGTTCTTGTTTCTCACAAGGGGCATAGGACTTTGGTATTTTCCAATTATATCAGATGGTAGAACAGATAGTGAGGACCTTTCTCTTTTCTGCTTGTTCGTTTGTTGTTCTTCGTGCATTCGACATATTTAGATTCTAAGTTTTGAAGGTACTTTGCTTGTTTATGGCCAGAATGAGAAATGTACCATGGGCATCATGGCAAGAATATTATGTAGTTATGCCATTAGCTTGGAACTCTGGGTGTACTTGTTTATTTTGTCGTAGACAACCATTTTTTCGGACCTTAAAACTGTACTGAATTTGTAATGGAGAATATAAATTGTTTTAACTTCTCAGAATGATCAGTAATGTAATTCAGTGTATGCATTATTCTATGTATGTTCTACTGCTCATATTTGGAATTGCGGCTAGAATGTACCTTATTTTATCTCGGAAACACTAATAATTATAATGAACAAATAAAAAAAATTGTATACTAATATAATAACTTTTATTTCTAAATTCTCTATGAAAAGCTCATACATAACTAGGGTAAACTGGCTGAACTTTATTGGAAAAAAGAAAAAGAAAAAAATGGAACGTGCCACATCAACATTTCGTTATTGCAGTAATGATTAATAATAGGGAGTGATCGATTTGTTATAAATATATAATGTTAATGACCAGTTTGTTACTTTTAAAATCTTCAGTGGAGAAACGAAAACTTACTTAAACATTAGTGACCATTTGTGTAGTTTACCCTATATTATAATTCATAAAGTGGAATAAGCGGTTAAAGAGAGTCTTGTTCTCCCTCGAAGTCTCTGGTTTGAACAACTACTCCCTCGAAGTCTCTGGTTTGAACAACTACGTCTACATGATGTTTGTGTTGTCAATGATTAAGAAATATTATGAACATATAGTACCTTAGACGGTTAACAAAACACATAAATTAAATTAGAAATAAATAATTTTAAGAAAATATACAAGACGACCTGCTCGAAAAAAATATTCTTGATAGGTACTCACTTTTCTATAATTTCATTTGATTTCTAAGATGGTTATAAGATAACAATTACTTGAAAGATTTTTACTCATTTGATGATAAACACTCAAACATCCCTACAAAAATCATGTCCAAACTTAAAATTTTTAAAAGTAACAATCAGCTGTTAACCATTTAAATAGTTTGATTTCTTTTTATACCCTCTTAAACATGAGATCGGATGTACTTTTTTTTAATGTCCATGTGCTTACTAATCATTTGATTTTCAAGAGAAAAGCGTGTCCATTAAGAACTTCAAGCCCAAATTTCAATTGTGAACGGAAAAGAAACAATTTCAATCAAAATTTGCTTTTAACACCAACCAAAGAAAGAAGGCCCTTTAATATTAGTTTGCTCCTGAAATTCATTCCACATCTCCAATCCGTGATTCTATGGTATAACTATTTAAGGCAAAATCAGTAGAATAATGCAACGGAAAAAATCATGGAGTAGTGTAGTTCATGAATTATTTTTTCATTTAGGGTGATTGTTACAGTGATCCACGAGGTCGTCGGCTGCTCCGAACGACCAACAAAGGTCGTCATGCGCTTCGAACGACTTTCATAGGTCGCACAATGTGTCTTCAGCTAAAAGCCTAATTACCGATATAGGTAATAGGTGTTACTTAGAGAAATTTAGGTAACTGTCGTTTGGAGCACATGACGACCAACGTAGGTCGTTTGAAAGACATGTCGACCTATGAAAACTGTAGCATTCGCCCTAGAAGGACAAATAATCCTTCGACTGTATTATCTGATCAAAAAAATTTTCAAAACATTATTCCACTGATTTTGCCACTATTTAATATAAGGTTATTAAAATGTCACAAATAAACATAACATTTTAGGTTGACTTAAAATTTCCTGGCAGCGTTTCAAGGCGGTGGTCAGTAATCTCAGAGCATTCTGGTACGCTTTGGCTTCTTCTTTTTGTCTTGTTCTTCCATTTTCTTTTCCTTTTGATTTGGACTGCTTTCATCCACTTACTTGAACTTGCTTGCATTTCCAGTATTATATTTGAACTGGTCTTAGATTTACAGATTAAAAAATACTTTAATTATCTATTTAAAAAAAAGATAATTTTATATACTTACTTTAATTAAAAATATTTTAAATACTTAAATAAAAAATATAATATATTTTACATACTTATGATATAAGTCTTTAAAAATTTAATTTATGTATTTAGAAGTATTAGTAATAGTTTGGATTGATGCATGTGCACTCTAAATCTTAACTCCGCCTTAATTCCAACACTGACCCATCATTCAAAATATCCACCAAAACTCAATTTAAAAGAAACTCCAACACAAAGGATTAGTTTGAGTCCCTGTTAAAATGGTCCCTATTAAAATTTAATAGTTCAATTTAATCCCGTTCAGTTTTTCGTCAAATGATCAAATTTTATTTTAGACACGGTTTAGTGAC